AACATCGTCCCAGCAGCAACCCTTGGTTGTCCCTTGGAATGCCCACCCCAAAGCATCCCCAGATCTCTCTACCAAGCCCCACACTCCTGCATCTGCATCAGCAGGTTACAGGGCAACACCCCAGCACCGGTCAGCATCGTTCTGACATCGAACAGCCGCAAATCACTCGGTATATCAGCAATGGGCCTGTCTAAGATGAGTTGCTAGGAGCTCCCAGAATTTACAGCGTAGCGCGACCAAGCCCCAAGACCGATCAGCGTCGTTCTGGCCTCGTCCATTCGCAAACCATCAGGAGCAAGGACATCAGCAGATAGCAGTCAAACCCTAATCATCACCCTAGATGTAGTTCCGATCATCCAGTTCCTCCAGGCACTGGTTGCATTAACTGACACTATTCCTTTTCAACCCTACTCCGGCAAGACTTACCGTGGTAGAGTACCATCTCCACCGCCAATGTGCCCTATTTCCACCCTACAGGCTGACCCCTTCGCCGCAGAGCGCATTATTTCCAACCACCGCAGCCCACATAACCCACTGCAACCAGCACCAAACTTATGAAGATTCCCAATAGAAATTTCAAAGGCTTCATGAGACTCAGATGCACAAAAATGACCTTCGATCTCGAACCAGCTCCGATACCAAATTACATGGAATATGAACGTGAGCGATATACAGAAAACCAAGTTGCAAAATCACACAGAAGTCCAGATGGTCATATAACAAGCAGAGAGTTCAAATGCACCAAGATTCCATCCAAATAAGAACAATATAATGAACTTGTGAGCCAACGTTCAAGCCCTCAGGCCACACCACCACAGTATTCAACGTCGCTCCTCTTGTCTGGCGCCCAGCGCCCCGCCTACTCTACTCGTCCTACCTAGCCTATCTACGTTCATGCAATAGGCTCACTTCGACTTTGAAGACCAATATACATGACGTCAACACCAATGCCGACCTCCCACATACACCAGGTACGTACTCTCAACTCCCCTCATCATCCCCTGTCCCCCACACCTCATGCGCTTCCTACCCGAAGACCACCTTCGCCTCCTACTGCCCTCGCGCCCTACAACGCCCCTCACCACTCAACGCTTGCACGCACCCCAGCCAGCATCAGCGCAAGCAGAGGCTTGCACGCTATCGCAGCAGCGTGTCCTCATTGACTGCCTAGGCCAGACTGCCCAAGACTGGCAGGCCTCCTCCTTATATGGAAGATGTGTTGCTGCTGGTTTGTCTGGGCCTGGCTGTGGAAGCTTCCAGTAGCTTCTGGTCGGGCCCCAGTATCTGCGCCCAGGCGCATCTCTGTAGTTGAGGGCCTGGGCCCTTTACGGTTCGGCACACCCAAAATTATCCAGGCTCCGAATGTTTGTTGTGCTTGTACTGGCCCGTGGGCAGATGTGACGACAATGCTGCATTCTCATTGACCCGTAGCCACTTCGTCATGTATCGGCCTCACGCTGCGTGCACCAGTGGTTAACGGGGTAAGTTGTTTTCACTGCTGAAATCAGTTTTTTTTCACCAAAATTTTCATGCGCGCCCGGACTCGAGCAACACAATCACGAGTTCAAAGGCACTTGGAACAACTATCTAAGTGTCGCTGCCCACCGAATAGATGAGCGTGTTAGGGTTTATGCACAGCAATTGGAAGGCATATTCACCTCCAAGTCAATAGACCACTGTCACTGCAGTCAGACAGGGTGGCAGTGGTGGGGATGGAGATGGTGGAGATGACGTTCGCGAAGGTCCAAAGAAGGAGGGGGACAGAAAGGGAGATCCCAATCAACTGAGAGGGGGAGAAAGGAGAGAGAAGATGAAGGTGAAGTTTCCCTGAACATATAACAGGAAGTAGGATGAGAACTTTTACCAGTGGGAGGCGCATATGGGCACGTATTTGTACGCACAGTCGATTCCGTATTGGAACCGTGTCTTGATTACGAGCTCATGCCTCGGTGGGAATGCCGCCAATTTTGACATTTCCCTGATGAAGGAGGTAGGTTGTGCCTCCATGGTGGAATACTCTAAGCGCATTCGTATAGAAGATTTCTTCAAGGCCCTGAAGGAGAGGTTCGAAGACAAGAACCTGGTCCGACGCACTGAACACCTGATCCTTAACATTAGTGATAGAAAATGGAAAAGTGTCGCTGCGTTGAAATCCACCATGAATGAGCTTTTGTAATCTCCCGATCACGGTCTAACCCCTACTCATATTTTGAACAACTTCGCGAGAGCGATGCCTAATCCCCTGAGGACCACTTTGTACCCCCGTACAAAGGAGGACGACATGACTTACGAGAAATTTAGTACGATTGTCATAGATCAAGCCGGCTTCCTGATGGAGGCCAACTACTATCATTATTGGAAAGACTCACAAAAAGGAGGGCAATGGAAAAATAAAACTATCGCAAGCAGTATAGAAGAGAAGGACAGTCTTCTAGTCGCATTTCATGGATGTGGAGTCGAGGCACTACCCTACGAAAACATAGATTACGAACTGGAAGAACCTAACAGCAACCAAGTAGCCTAGGGAGGGGACTATTCGGTTGTTGCAACCCACGGGGGAGGGTGACAAGGAGGAAGAGGAGGTCAAGGAAGAGGTGGAGCAAGAGGACATAGCACCAGGGAGTAGTAGCGAAGGTATCCATTACACGGGAGGTAAGGGTTATGGTTCCCCGCAAGGCGGACGCGGTTCCTCCTCCACAGGTGGAAGAGATAGAGGGCGAAGACCATGGCCAACACATCTAGGGATTGCGGACGGAGAGCCATGGAAAGAGATGGACATAGAGAAAGCATTGTGGGAGCAAAGGCTAAGGTCAACCAGTGCCTGAAATGTGGTGATCCCAACCACATTCTCTGCGTTTGCCCTGACTACCGCTACCCACTGGGCCTTCAAACACAGACAGACAAATAAAAGTGCACCCTAAACAGACACCCTCCTATCTAAGGGCCCCTATGACAAAGACTAATGTAGGCCCCCACCCAGTTAGTTTTCCAGAAACCGCTTATGCTAGGATCTCTCTAGGTGGTTCCCTCGCAGGCATTGGTGATAAGTTGATCACTCGTTGCCAAGCTTGGGCCGAAATGAAGAAGACGAGTAAAGGGCAACTAATTTTAGCAGATGCAGAAATTAGTAGAGAGCGAGTAACGAGTTAGTTGATAGTGGTTCTACACGTAGCTACATTAGCCGAAGGGGATTGCAGAAGATGCACCTCGGCATGAAATTTACGAAACTGGACGAGCCTGTCGTGAGCAGGTCGACAGATAATCGCGAAATGAGAGTCGAAGAGTACGTTGAAGGGTAAAGGCATACTTCTGGTTGGAAGGGAGCAACAAGGTAGAGAAAGTTTTGCACTCCCTTACTCTCTCAGTCGAGGACAGCCAACCTTTCGACTTGATCCTCTGGACAAATTGGTGAAAGGCCGCGAGGGCTGACGTGAAGATGGGCGAGCGTGAATGCTGGTTATCCTGCCCTAAAGGAGGCAAAAAGAAAACACAGTTGTTTCATGAGTCTGGAGTAGTATCCGGTTCGTCCCTTTGCCGTATGGGTGCCCATGCACTTTTCAGGCACGTGGTCAAAGCCGAGTTGGTTGACGAAGTCTTCGTAGCATATGTTAGACCGGTGAGTGAGGAAAAGAAGGAGCACCACCCGCAGTTAAAAACTGCTGAAAGAGATCGTTGATGTGGGAGAGACCCCAACAGGAGTAGTGGAAAGGGAAATTTATCATCCACACCTTTCTAGGACCTAACTACCAACCCTTTCTACATTCATAGGGTCCTACCAAAAAAATGGGTTAAGATTGTACGTCTCACCTCTTCTCTTGCCACAAATTTTTTCAGCCTCGTTTCTTGAAACCCAATCCTTCCATTCCATTTCATCCAGCTCTTCAATTTGATACGCGTCAAAATCCCCGCATCGCACAATCCTGTAGGGTCGTAACCACATTTTGTTATATAGCAGCACTACATCCCCGACTTTCAATGGTACCTTTCGTACGCGGGCCAACTGGTTTCAACGAGCCTTATCATCCATGCGGCTCTTCTCCACTTGAGATTGGATGCGTCTTGAATCCTCTCCTCAATCGCACCCACCTATCGCGCTCAAATATCGAGCAACTCCTCAAAGGACAGGTTGGTTTCCAAGTCTTGGCGTCTCCAAGTTTTCAGGAAGCTCTCGATTGGGAAAGTAGCATGCCTTCCGTACCATTGTGTGGCTGGCGCATACTTAGTGGTCCTTTTTACCGTAATGTTCTCGACAAAAAATGCCGCCCTCAGGTACCTTGGCCACTGATTAGGCCTTCTTTCAGTCCACTTAGCTAGGAGGTTCATGATGGCACTATGCCCCCTCTTAACCAGAACATTTGCCTGAGGATGTGTCGCCGTGGTATAATTGGCTACCACGCCGCATCCTGACAATAATGTTTGCACCTCTTGACAAGTAAACTGTGATCCTCTATTCATCACGAATTCCTTGACGAAGGGATAACGCAAGTATTACTCCTCGATGCAGCTTACCAACACTGAGCCGGCCTTTGTACGAATGGCATGACCATCTACAAAGCCAGAAAGGTTGTCTCGCGCATCGAAGATGTAGTTGTAGCCATGATCCAATCGGCATAAATAATAAGTCGAGATGTACTACGACACCCACTTCCCTTTCTATCCTTGGATGCAATGACTCTCCTGGCCTTTGAGGAACCCTTTCTTGACAAGGTATACAAAAACGGTAGAACTTGCTGATCATCTTCATCATCCCGTCCCAATAGTATAGCTCGCTTATTTTGGCATACGTGGCACCAACTCCTCAACGCCCTCCTGCAATGTCGTCATGTAGAGCAGCTATAACATCGATATAACAGTTTCACATCTCGACGACACCCACTTCCTTTTCTATCCTTGGATGCAATGACTCTCCTGGCCTCTTAGGAACCCTTTCTTGACAAGGTATACAGGAATGGTGGAACTTGTTGATCATCTTCATCATCCTGTCCCAATAGTATAGCTCGCTTATTTTGGCATACGTGGCACCAACTCCTCGATGCCCTCGTGCAATGCCGTCATGTAGAGCGGCTATAACATCGATCTAACGGTTCCTCCGCATACAAACCTTCTGGAACACCCTACTTGCCTCTTTACAAAAAGATGACCATCTCTCACTAGGTAGAGATGCCTCATCTTTTCAGCCATTTCGCTAGCATCCCTATCCCGCATCTCACACGATAAGAGAAGTCCCAACTTCAGGTAGATCCCATCATATTCCTTTGCACGGAATGCCTCTTTGATCTCCCCTTCCTCAAACTCGTCATCCTGACTTTCTGCCCCAATATCTTCATTCTCAACCGGATTCAATGAGCCTGCTTGATCGAAATTCCCCTGCAGGACAGTATTGACGAGAAGGTACATTCCCCCCATCAAATCCTCGTGCTTCTCTACTTGGTCCGACCCTTCTTCTATCATTCTCACCTCCTCTACCGGACTATGCGTGCCTGCCAGTGCCAACTTCATCATCCACTGGACATCTTTGCCGCCCCATGGGTCCTCTTTCTCAAAAACCTTGAACACAAGCTTTGTCTTCTGCTTATATCCCTTCGGTGCAAGCCAGATGGGATGACCAACGCAATTCGGTACTCGCAAGGACCACCTGTTAATATGAACGCGAACGTCTTCCTCTTGATCCAAGAAGCTATCAGTCGGGGGCGTATCCTTTACTGCCTCTCCCTTGTTCTTTTCCCAGTTGATGCGACTCAGCCCATCTGCCCTATTCTTATTACCTGGAATCCGTTCCAGTTCGAAATTAAACATCCAGATGTACGTTAGTCATCCGACGATCGTTGGATCTGGTATAACGTAATTTCTCAGCGAATAAGCGAGCGCAGTTGGGTCTACCCTCCATATAAACCTTCTGCCAAATATATAATTTCGAAAAATTCTTAGGCAGTGAAGGACAACGAGAGTCTCCCTCTTAAATTGAGAATAATTTCTCTCGTTCGTACAAAGAGTTCGAATCTCGAACCTTAGTGGTCTTTCCTTTCCCTCGATATCTACCCTTAAGGCCTCACCTCAGTGGCCTCATAGTCCGGTGCTCCCAATACCAACCCTCCTCGAAACTCCTCCTTCATCCCTGCCACAACCTTTTCCTGCTCTTCAACCTAGACTCATTCCTGATCCTGACGTACAAGCTTCCTTAAATGTTCATTCTTGACAGCAAAATTCTTGATGAAGGTTCTCCAAAACCCACACATGTCGAGGAAGCTCCTAACATCTGTTATCGAGTGGAATGATACTGGCCATTCAAGAATTTTATTCGTCTTCTTTACATCTGGTCAACGGTCACTCTCGCTACAGACGAACCCCAGGATGGTAGCCTCCCTCATGCAGTGTCTGGACTTGGCACCACTTGTCGTAAGGTTGTGCTCTTCAAGCAAACTCGAGACTTATCAAGATCCTGAACATGCTTCCAGACAAAACGCCTTACTCCCGGCAAGACCTCGTCACTCTACTTCTCTTTCGGCTCTTTACCGCCAAGTCGTCAATATATGACTGAGTGATATGCGGGCTGACTGACTACATGGCTCGAATCATATGTCGTTGAACCATTGCCACCGCATTAGTCCATCCTTGCGGAGCCACATTCATGTGAATCAGTCCTCGGGGCGTATGCATCGCTGTCACTGGCCTGTCTGGCGGATGGACCAGAAACTGGTCATATCCAGAATAGAGGTTTATAAGCGAAACTATAGGTCTCCCAACACATGATTCAGAAAGTGCGTCAACGTTTGGCAAGCCCCCGCATCTCGCACAGTCACAGCGTTCAATCGCTGCAAGTCATGCACCCACCGCAACGTCCCATTAGGTTTGACAAAGCAAAACCATGGAGACGCATATGGACCACTCGAGTAATTGGCGACATGCATGTGTATCTTGCCGTCGAGATAGTCCAACACCTTTTTCTCCTCGTTAGGATTAGGATACCATGCCCGTCTTAAATTTTACGGCTCATGTGGCACAGTATGGATTCGGATCATAAGAATCTTATCTTCGTCCAATTTCTTGCGTTGATCGTCATCGAAGGCATAAGCATGATACCTCTTCTTTATTAGCTCATTATCAGCACCCTCTCCTGGGGCAGCAGGAAATCAGGCCCTCCCACTATTAACTTCTCCTCGTTTCCTTCATTGATACGACACGGCCCAACTGCCGCTTGCTCCCTCATTCGCCGTATCAATCCTCGTTCTCGCTCGTAATAAACCTCCTCATCTTTTGTGACGAGAACGGGAACTGGACGACATTTTTCGTCTATCGTCTTGAACCGCCTTTGGGAACCTTGCTTAAGCCGTCCCCTAAAAAAGGCCGGCTCACCGCTTGCGCCTGCATCATTGCAGGGTCCCTCCTTCCGCCCGAAAGCCGATAGACCAGTTCTACTTCCCCAGCCTCTGGACATTCCAGGACATGCTCCCTCAGTGCCTGAATGGCGTCTGGATCCGCCATCTCGTGTGTGGCCACTACATCCATGACCTTGTTCACATCAGATACACTGAGGGAAAACAATTCCTCCTGTGCCTCCTCTTCTAGTTCTTCACGAAGCCTCCGACGCTCATCCTCTGACTCTTCGATCGTGAATGAACCAGGGTTGAGCCGGTTCCTTATGCTTCGCGGGTCTGTGTTCCGGGAAGTAATCACCTCATAGTTCCCGCATGTCGGGTCACACAGGATCAGGATCAGAGTTCCGTCGTGTTTGTTGAATATCAACGTCTCTGTCCTCCCTAGGAGGATGGCATAATCCACGTCTGGCATGACGAAGAAGCAAGCTCTGGCCTTTACCTTCCCAATCTCGATAAGCACGTTTGACGCCGTTCCACAAAATACGGCCTTGCAATTGGCCCCATGCAGAATGCCGCAATCCAAGCGGTCTATATCTCCAACCCAAACCTGAGTGCATCAGCTTCTTTGATGATGTTAATCTCCGCCGCTGTATTCACCATCGTTGCGCACTTCCATCCCTTCACCACCAGATTCACCATTCCGCAGGCCACACACTTCCAGTCCATCTTCGTCCTAGTTTCTACCCATTCTGCCTCCTTTGGCAAAATCACACTTAGATGGACATTTGGCACTAAGCGTCGAGAAAACCTTCCCTTTAGCTCGTTACGGAGCTTGGGAGCAGATGCCAAAATCTCCTTCAAGGTCATAAGGTCATTATGACCTTCGAGCAACCTGTCAATTACTTTCTCCACGTCAAACCCTTCCTCTAACCGGACCGCATACTTCTTTTTCTTTGGTGCCGCATCGCGCAGAATCGGTTCGGCTTCCCCCTGGGCTCCCCTCTTCTTGGCCCTTTGCTCCGCCCTTCGTTCCTCCTCTTAACGCAGCCTATCATCTTGCTCTTCTTCATCATCGTCCTTCTCCACTTCCACGACCGCTTTCCTTCGTTCTTGCACTGGCTCCCTCCGTGGGGGTTCTCGGCTGACACTTGCCTTACTCAGGCCCCTTGTTTTCGCAGCTTGCGCCATTCTCCCTTGCGCAGTAGCGGGCCTGAAGGTCATTCCAGACTGAGGCCCTGATCCCACAGTGGCTACTCCAGGGTAGCCTTGCCGTCCAGGTACTGACTGGATCGAACTCGTAGAGGAAGACTTTGAGGATGCTGACCCTCCATTCCCTCACTTCTTCGCATATACCTACCAGCTTCCGCTGATATTGACCCATTTTCTCCCACAAATCCTCCATCTTTCCCAGAATGATCGACGTCGATTCCACCTTCTCATCCTCACCCTCTCCATCTGACTCAACAACTATAGGCTCTTCCTTTATACTTTCTGTCTGTAGCCTCTGAGTCACCTCTTCATCACTTTTCACCTCTTCCACCCTTATTGGTGGGTCATCCCTTTCTGGCCACAACATGAACGTGGCTGGTGGCGCTTGTCGTGCAACTATCCTTCTCTGAGCCTCCGCCCTTACTCCGCCTGCAACCTTTCGGTCAATATACTCTCCGTACTGATCGTATATATCACCGTCCATATTGGAATAAATCAGTCCAACCTTTTCATCTTCTCGTCTTGTACTGCAGAACCATATTGTATGACCTTGCCTATCACAATGTTGGCAAATAGCGGTCGTCCAGTCAAAACGAGGCCTTCCATATCCTTGACCTCCCTGATTCCCTTGACTCTCTTGGCCTTCGTAGCCTTGGCTGTCCCATTCTCCACCTCGGCCACCGCCATTCCTGCCTCGTTCTCTTCCGCCGCCGCTTCCTCCATTCCCTTGGTTGCTCTGACCTTGATTTCCTCCCCTTGCCACGCTACCTTGTGAACTTGGGGCGGGCGATGGAGGTGGTGCCATGGGCTGGGCCTGCGCTGCAGGATAGCTCGGCGGCGGCATACTCGCTTGGGGCCCTGCGTATGGTACCATCTGGCTAGACGGAGCTGGACCTTCCCATGGCACAAAGGTGTTAAACACAGGCCATGGCCACTGCCCATATGGTGGTACCGCCGCTTGCGAGGGTCCCACGCTACTTGATGGAGCTGACGCACTCGGCGAGGCTACTGCTAATTCTTGGGGCGTCTGACCCTTTCCTGAGCCTTGCCCTCCCCGTGTAAGATTGCGCTGCTTGCGCAGCGCCTTTGAAAGGTGTTGGGGCACTGACTCTTCTTCTTCCCATTCCTCCTGAATGTCCTCCTCTACCACTAGATCCTTCCCCCTCCCTTGGTTCGTTGTTACCACTTTCTTTTGTACCACGACGTCTTTCCCATCATACTCGCTTGGGGCCCTGCGTATGGTACCATCTGGTTGGATGGAGCTGGACCTCCCCATAGCATGAAGGTGTTAAACATAGGTCATGGCCACTGCCCATATGGTGGTACTGCCGCTTGCGAGGGTCCCGCGCTACTTGATGGAGCCGGCGCACTCGGCGAGGCTACTGCCAATGCTTGGGGCGCCTGCCCCTTTCCGGAGCCTTGCCCTCCCTGTGTTAAATTGCGCTGCTTGCGCAGTGCCTTTGAAAAGTGTTGAGGCACTGACTCTTCTTTTTCCCATTCCTCCTGAATGTCCTCCTTTACCACTGGATCCTTCCCCTTCCCTTGGATCGTTGTTACTACTTTATTTTGTACCACGGCGTCTTTCCCATACCCCAACTTAGCGAGTACATCTGTTACGATCCTTTTCACCCCCGGGGTCCCTGAGGAGGTCGCATCTCACTCTTTTCTTTTTCGTCGTTGTTAGCGCATTTGGTACTGCTCCACCTGGTCCAAACTCCCTTCTTCTACCCCCTTGTCGATGGTGGTCCAGATGAGCTTTGCGCTTCCTCCTCCGTGACTTGTCAATTCCGAGGCTTCTGAGGCAGTTAACAGCCTCTGGAAGATAGCACATTGTGCTTCTTCCGAAATTTCGGGGACCTTCCTTGCATTTTTCTTAAGCTCTTGAACAAAAGTCCCGATTGTCGTGAATCCCTATTCATTGCCTCTAAATCTACAGTGGTCAGGAGGCCATCACCTAGCCTATACTTTCTCTGCATTCCATCCTTGAATCTCGCCTAGCTGTCGTCGGCTGCATTTATCACCTTCTCTACCTCCTGGTGATGCCCATGGAGTACATATTTCAAAATGCGTTGGAATTTCACTGCATCCAATAGCCCCATCAATGCCTGTTCCACCAACTCCAACCATTCTGAAACTCGCTCACCATTGAAATGGAAGGTGTTGACTTTTGGGACATTGCTTTGTAACCTCTCTCGTCTGTCGAGGGCTTCGACCAAATCATCAATTGTCAGGACCTTTCCGACCCCAGCAACTATGCCGCCTGACATCTTGGTCGAATCTCTTACTCAAATTTCCCTATTAAGAAGAGGTAAAGAAAACTTTCATTTAGCATCCTGATTTCGGTTTGACACCTATCAGCCTCCGATATAACTACTTCGTAGTCCAAGTCTAACAGGTTCTACCCTAGTTTCTTTATTTTTAAATCCCCTTTAGTAAGAATCATTCCCTCTATAGGACTTCCCTCATGGTCTCTTAAATCAGGCAGTCAATCATGTCAAAGGTAACTTATTATATTAATAACATCCATCCAACATAGATAGTCAAACAAGACATCACGTATTCCGCCTCTCAGTATACGCCTATTTTCTTCTCAATCCTACACCCGGATATCGTTCCACCAGGGACAACGGTAGGCTTCCGTTATCCCCGGCAACGACGCCACCTATCAAGCGCATCAGTCCAGCACCACGCAAAACGGAGCGGGACCCTCCCGGCCGCGTCACGCAGGAGTTGGTCTATTCCTCTTCGCGATATATATATGGAACTTTCGTAAGCCGCTCCGGCCGAGTTCGCCAGCCATACCTCTTGCAAGCCCCTACGACAGGATAGGGCCTACGCGAGGCACGACTTACCTCCATCTTACGGGAGTTGTCACCTCTCTTCGGTGGGCGTATCCCCGCCGAGCTACCAGTCCACAGTACGAAAGCTAATCAGCTCCAATCGCAGAGGTGGACCAGCTGAGGGTGTTTCTCGTTCGCCGTAGCACAGGGGATACGCACGATTTCATGCCTCTATCGAACCCGCACGCGAACCGACGCCTTGGGGGGCGGAGGTCCCAAGCGCGACCCGTCGTCGGTCAATTAGGACGCTTACCGCACACCACGCGCACACCACTCTAAAGACAAAAAAAATGAGAACATGCACGTACACACACATATACAGAACGAATAAAACAAACAACGCACACAATCCTAGTCCCTTCAGTAGCCATCCCATAACTTTCCGCTGTAAAAATTAGATATGCCACGCGCGCAAGAGTTAGTATAAAACCGCGCGGACGCAGGACTTTCCCATATCGACTAGCAATGTATGAATATACAAGCAGTCGCAATGATGGCATACTATGTAGTGCCCATAATCAAGCGGTCTGGTGGGCAGGGCAAATAGGCTCTGCACAGGGGGTGATCCCTTCTATGCAGAGTCTAAGACCTAGGATGTCATGGACAAGGTCCTCGAATCCAGGCCCATGACCAACGTCCGACTAAGAAATTTTTAAGAAGCATACAATAATAAAAGAGGAATACCTATGTATACGTGATCGCAAATGATCAAATCCAAAGTCCAAACCACATATCATATCCGCAATCACATCGAAGACTCAACCAAAAATCCACACACTACACAGAGTCAACTTCAACCATTCTCTATACTCGTACCCCTCGCTTTAGCCATGCAAGCCCCAACCTTTGTCCAACCATCCATAATTAAATACTCAGTACCTAATTAGATGACCATTCAATAAAAGTCTGGGTGCACCATCACAGTGGAATCCCTCACAACCATATATATCGTCACAACCATATATACATGTATGTGATCGCAAACAATGAAATCCAAAGTCCGAACCATAGAACATATCTGCAATCACATCAAAGACTCAACCAAAAGTCTACACACTACACAGAGTCAACTTCAACCATTCTCTATACTCATACCCCTCACTTTAGCCATGCAAGCCCCAACCTTTGTCCAACCATCCATAATTAAATACGCAGTACCTAGTTAGATGATCATTTAATAAAAGTATGAGTGCAAAGGTTATCAGTGGTAAGAAAAAATGATCCTTGTGGGATCAATTTGAGTCTATTCCAAATATTGAATCAAACGATCAAGAGGACCTGTAAGACAAGACAGACCAATCCAGAAGCTAGACCTATAAGTCAATGGAGAATACTCTTCATATCACAACCTCATTCAACGTTCTCATGTAAACTAAGTCTGAGCCTACCTCTAAGTCAGTGCTAAAGAAAAGGTAGACCTTTGGCAGAATCTCCTCTGTATAGATTGGATTGCCAGAATTGCCTAAAAAAAAGGTGAACCTTTGGCAGAATCTCCTCTGTATAGATTGGATTGCCAGAATCGTCACCTGTAAAAATAAAATCTAATTCCTTTAAACTAAGAAAAATTCGGGATTGCCAGAATCGTCACCTGTAAAAATAAAATCTAACTCATTTAAACTAAGAAAAATTCGACAGCGCTTCCCGTAGAAAAAGTGTCTTCTCACAATTTATACTAAGCCTAAATACGAAAACATAAATAATTTTTAACTCAAGTCGAATTTTATCTAACTCCCTGAATTAGTAAAAATTTGAGCAGCACCGCTTCAAAAAATGAGACTTTCCAGATTTATACTAAGTCCGATTTGAACTCAAAAAACAAACTTGAGTTCAAATAAGACCAAATTTAACTAACTCCCCAGATTTGTAAAAATTTCGGCAACACTCCCTTTAGAAAAGTGTTGATCCAAGATTTATACAAAGCTAAGTTCAGAATCTTAAAGCGACTTTTGACTTCTGAAGGTGAAATTTTTTCCAACTCCTTGAATTAGCAAAAATTTGGGCAACACTCCCTTTAGAAAAGAAGACTTCCCAAATTTCTACGAAGCCATATATAAAGTTTAAACAAGTTGGATTTTGAAAGGTCAAAATTTAAATAACTCCTTGGATTTGCAAAAATTTCGGCAGCGTTTCCCGCAAAGAAAGTAGCTTACCAAGATTTATACAAAGCCAAATATAAAAAATAATTCCAGAAAATGCAAGAATTGACCTAAGTAAAAATAAACCTAGCTCAGAAAATGCATGAATTGAAACTAACCCCTATCACTCTAGCACGTGGCGAGCAGCTAAAGCAACTACCAATCAAACTGAAACTCAGACCAAGTAGTAATCTCACTCTGTCACATGCAAGGCCAAACACAAGGAGTAAGTACTCTCACCATCCCTAAGTCAAAATCCTCATAGATAGTTCATGAATCTTTCAGATGATTTAACCCTTGTACCCAGCTTACATATGGTACGGTGCTAGACCATTCAACTTAGAAACAATGTCTAGCATGCCTTTAGGATATACATGAACATGTTGCACAACTACTTTTCTCTTGTTTGGGCATATGACTAGACCATTCATCTTAGGAACAATGCCTAGTCGCCCTAAGTTGTTTAATAGCCAAAATTTAATAATTTTATGATTTTGTTTTAAAAAGAAATAAAAAGATGGGCAGGGGACTGAGCCATTCAACTTAAAAACAATGCTCAGCTTGCCCAAATTACTTCCAATTATACTTAGTACTTTCTCTTCTCTTCTTAATGATATGGCTTAGTGTTGGACCATTCAACTTAGAAACAATGTCCAACTGTCGGTTCACATTCAAGTATAGATAAAATATTTCCTGTTTATACTCAATTTATATTTATGTGCGTGGTTTTTAGGCTAAACCATTCAGCTTAGAAACAGTACTTAGCCTTAAATAAAAAATCCTCCCTTAAAAATAAAACAAAAGACTGAACCATTCAACTTAGAAACAATGTTCAGCCTATCCTCAAACAATTTAAAGCATGAAGTTGAATTTTTCAGCCCAACTTCAGTCAGAAACGCCAAAAGAAACAAATAGACCAAGCCATTCACTTAGAAACAATGCTTGGTCCCGGAGATCAGTCAGGCAAGCTCTCATAATTAAACACAACAACCAGGTCATTAAGCTTAGAAACAATGTCGGGTCCTTCAAAAAATAGTCAAATAAACATAGCCCTGAGTCATTCATCTTAGAAACAATACCTAGTCTTTGGTTGACCCGACCAAACGCATGCACACTGCCTTCCTGCTACCTTTCCCCAGTTCATCCCTTAGTCTGCTTTCAGTCAAAATAAAAAGAAACTTAAAATTCACGTATGCATTAATTCTCTTTAGTCTGATTGAATTTTGAAAAGAAAATAGAATCATAGGGGATCACATACATACAATCAGTCAAACTGAAGGGAGATAGCCAAACATGGGTATAGTGGGTCATAAAGATAGAAAAAGTTATACCTGACGGTTCCCTACCTCCATAACTCCTCCCGAGTTCCGGCATAGCTCCCTTAATCGGTGGGCGGACTCCCCACAGAGTCTTGCTGTGGTCCTACGGGTTGCAATCCCGCCTGACGCCTTCCTCTCTGATCAGGATTAGACTGAGAGTAAGAAAGGTAGAAAGAGGGGTTTCAGACTCGCGAGATACAGGAGGGGAACAACTCAACTCCCAGGAGAGGACCTTGTTATCTTCATGCACCTGAGGGCCCCACAATGATGGCCAAACAGCAACAGCCTGGTAAAAACTGAAGTCAAACTGTTGACTGTTGACTGTCCGATGACCCTCAAAATTACAGCGACGACCTCCCTATATTTGATCACTCTCTCATACCGTAGGGCCGGCCTCCCCTCACCAACCCACAACTAGTACACAGTCTGGAAATGCCTTATCCGAACGGATTACACCTTTGTGCTCTGCCTGAAATGCAGCAGCGCACCGCAACAAAGGTCTATGATCATCACTAGCGAACCCTCCGCATGCCTGCGACCAACAATATCTAGTGGATCCGGCAAGCAACAAGCAGCAAACCACGACTCAGCAAACAACGAACACTACAAATGGTAGTTCAAATGAAGCAGCAGCTCAGTCGGCTGCAACTTCAGGAACAGTACTTTACGAAAGTCACTACTTCTCATAGTTGACCCTGACTCAAGCTTGACAAGGTCTTCTCTCTCAAAAGTCGGGATAGCCAGCACATATTAACTCTAAAACTACCACGACGACTCATGCTGCAGAGAGTTCAGAACGAAAATAAGAGAGCGATGGATTAAGGAGACGTCCTTAGTCCCATAGTGCAAAACGCTCACATTACGGAGTGTGTGGCATAGGCTTTGGGGGAGGTATCTGGCTATCGGCAGAATCAACCAGGTGGCGAGTGTAACTAATAATAGTTGCTAGATTCAAACTTATGCCGGCAGCTCGACAGTTTCATATGTACAGGACTCGCGCAACCCGCAATTTAGCAAAGCGAGAGGAAGACTTCTGCAAGAAAAATAAAAACACATCGTCGAGCTCCTTTCCCTGTCATCGATGGTACGAGTGAGATCCTAATGGATCTCCCATTGGAATACAGCCTGACGCTTCTTCCAGTGTGAGCAACACACCGGCCAATATGTAAGTCTCCAACCTCACGACCCAGCCCCCGCTAGCTCCGTCGATGGAACGAGCAAAACTGAACAAAGTTTGCCGACCGACGACTCTCCGGTTACCTTCATCGACCGCACGAGTAATGTGCTCGTCAACAAGTAAGTATCAATCACTCCCTCGCTCCCCCCCTTTCTGGCGAACGAAACGCAGTCGGCCGCTGGCATGGCCAGACCTAGCCACAATTCAAGGAGAAGAGTCGGCCAGGCTGCTAGGCCGAAAACATGGGATGACGAATCAGCGACGGAACATTGGTTGGACATGATCACAAACCCGACTGAGGGCAATGACAGAACTATAAACCACGTACATTACGAGCAACCGTAGCCCGTCCCTCAACAACTATACAAAGCAAGAGTGAATCTTCCGCCTGAACGCAGAAAGATACATCTCATCTTCAATGTT